GGGACCTTGGTTATTATTGCACAACTTTTATTAACAACAAAAATGTTTGGCTTCTCTGCTTAATCTACAAATTTTCTGAATAGAAAAGAGTATCTTGCATCTTCATTTTCATGAGCTAATCAGAGGAGCATTGGCAGGGCTATAAGAAGTCACCAAGTTAAAACTAATGATATGCTAAGATAGAGTATGTGAAATGTAGAGTTTTAACTGATAAAAATCTTGTTTCACAAAACCAGGTTTTTACAACCAGAAGTTCTCAGTTTAGAGTCCAAAACTTAGGAGTTCCAAAACTGAAAAACCTACCTTCATTTACATGTTTATTCAACAGGATATTGAACAAGTATTTATTTAGTGCCTATTCTGTGTTAAACACTGAGCTAGGTGCTGGACAGTGAGGATAGCAGGTACCACAATTCTATTATGGGATGAGCTCAACTTGTGTCTTCCTTCATGGTATTCTATCCTTCATGTTCAAAAATATCTAAAATGGTATACATACACCATTTTATTAATCCACGCATGTATTGGTGGACACTTGGGTTGTTCCTACATCTTTGCAATTGTGAATTATGCTGCTATAAACACTCAAGTGGAGATGTCTTTATTATAGAATGCCTTTTTTTCCTTTGAGTAAATACCCAGTCATGGGATTGCTGGATCAAATGGTAGTTCTACTTTTAGTTCTTTGAGGTATCTTCATATTACTTTCCATAGAGGTTGTACTAGTTTGCAGTCCCACCAGCAGTGTACGAGTGCTCCTACCTCTCCGCATCCACGCCAACATTTGTCGTTTTGGGACTTTTTGATAAAAGTCCATTCTCACTGGAGTTAAGTGGTATCTCTGTGGTTTGGATTTGCATTTTCCTCATGATTAGCGACGTTGAGCATTGTTTCACGTTTGTTGGCCATAAGTCTACCTTCTTTTGAAAAGTTTCTGTTCATGTCCTTTGCCCACTTTTTAATGGGGTTGTTTTTTTCTTGCTGATTTTCCTGAGTTCTGTATAGATTCTAGTTAGCAGCCCTTTATGGGATGTATAGCATGCGAATATTTTCTCCCATTCTGTAGGTTGTCTATTCACTCTAGTGATAGTTTAGTACTACTCCACCATAAAAAAAAAAAAAAATGGTGAACTACCTATTGCATTATCCTGGATGGAGCTGGAGCCCATTCGTCTATTAATAAGTGAAGTATCACAAGAATGGAAAAACAAACACCATGTGTACTCACCATTAAATTGGTACTAATTGATCAACATTAATGTGCACACATGAGAAGTAACATTCATTCACAGGGTGTTGGGCAGGTGTGGGGAGGAGGAGGGAATGGGTAAACTCACACACAACAGATGTGGTGTGTGCTGTCTGAGGGATGGGTGTGCTTGTAGTTCTGACTTGGGCTGTGCAAAGGCAATTTATGTAACCAAAGCGTTTGTACCCCCACAACACTCTGAAATAATACAAAAATACCTAAAATGAAGGATATGGTAAATTTCAAAGCAACTATTTGGTAGTGGATCATGTTTATAAGGCAAACAAAGCTTAATTTTAAGTCTCTTGGAGGCAAGAGACTTAGTATAAGGGTGTTCTATCCTACTGCTGTGACTGTGGTGGAATCTTTTGTTTGCATGCCTAGCATTCTCTCTCCCTTTTACCAAGCACCAGCAACTCCTTCTTTTTTTTTTGGATGGGCCTAGTCTCTTTGGGCCTTAGTTCTCTTATATGCCCCCAGTTGCACCAATCCCAATTGCTCAGGATCCTGATCAGTGATAAATATCTTATCAAGCTGGGAAGAATGCTAAACACAGAGGCTGAGACAGGATCTCTCTCTTCTTGGGGG